GACTCTCACCCTGCCAGGGGCCAGGCTTTCCCTTGTACTGCATCCACTCATTCACGTTTCCTTAACTCAAGATAAGTAGCTTCTCATGACACCCTGTCCTACGTGATCAACTTGCACTGAAAACCCTCATGCCATCGCAGGACAGATGCCAACACAGACCCTAACCCTACAGCACCAGGCCATCTGCTTCATTTCACACTGCGAGCTCACAGCACACGGCTGATCTCCGTGGGCGATGGACACCAATGGAGCCCCCACTGACAACGGCTCAGGTATGCCGTTACCCAGCATGCCACAGAAGCCAGGAGGAAACCCTGGCTAACAGCAAAGCACAGATTCAAACCAGCCATCTCCAGCCTCACAGGACCCAACTTAAACCTCAAGCAAGACCTGACAAGAGCAAAGAACCCACAAGCCTTTCTTTAAAGAAAGAAAAAGCTTGAAAGAATGATTGGGGAAAAAAAAAACAGAAATAAAAGCTGGTTTTTGATGAGACTCACCCTGGTGTGGCCGTGATCTTGTACTTGACGACAGATGAACCATTTTTGGCCCCTCGGATCTTCGCTCCAACAATTTTGGGGGTTACGGGGTCATTTCTTGGCACCCCAGGAATGTTGCTTTCACTCTGGTCCCCCTCCTTGTCTGTCTCGGCTGTCACCAACAATAGACAAATACCATAAGCAGTCAGGCCCTAACCCTGAACATTAACACAATTTTCAAGAGAGAATGGGAATTGAAAACACAGATCCATAACCTAGACTTGAAAGAACGGTAGGGAGAAATGTGGACACAAAAGGGAATTTCAGAGAGTGGGAGCAACAGAACAAGAGGAATGTGCTTGGGCCTCCTCCAGTGTAATCTTGCAGGAGCAGCACTATGTTCTTTGATGACTGGAGTTTTAATGCAAAACGTTATTGCTTCAGATATAATTTATCTGTATTATTTCTGTTGGATGTTTAGTGCCAGTGAAGGAGGCTGAAGCTGGAAGACTGTAAAATACAAATCCAATGTAAAACAAAGATCAAAGACTTAATATAACTAATAGATGACACCATGTATTTGAAATGCATCATAATATGGCCCTTAACCCCAACTGCTCCAGGGGCGCCGTATAAATGGCTGACCCTGTGTTCCGACCCCAAGCTTCTCTCCCCGTCTGTGTCTCTCATGGAAAGCAAGTTGGGGTACTCCAAAAGACAGATTCCTGATACAAGAAACTGTATACGGCCAATAAAGTGATAATATACTTCATGTTAATTTCCATTTTAAACCAGAGTTGCCTTTTAAGTTGTACCTAGGGACATTATATAACAGCAAAATGAACAGTAATTCATGGCCAGAGTTCTGGAGGAATTTACACACGAGCAAAAATACCTCAATATGTGACAGTGACTGAGAGCTAGTACAGGAGTAATAGCAGCAAGGCCCTCTGAGATTTTAACACATAAGCACAAACCATTGCACAGCCTGCGTGCCCTCTTGCTTTCTCTGCTTCAATAATTATGGCAATACACACACTTACTGAACCAGACAGAACTCGCTTAGGGGTTTTTATCATCTTGTTGGGAAGTCATGGAAATGCTTTTCATCTGGAAAGGCTTTTGGAAAGAATGTGAAGGCCTGAGCCAATACTGCTTTGGATCCGAATTCTGAATTCCATGCTGTGTCCACAGACAAGAATTGGTCAGTTGTGCCACGGACATGTAAATGCTTCCAGTTATAAAACTGGATAAGTTTCCAGAAATATAAAAACCCAAACTAATCAGTTTAAAATGATATTTTCAACACAATGTGTTTTTCATCTGCTTATTTTTTAAACTTATCTGTTGACTGTTATCATACACAGACTTTTATTAGGGGAATCAAACAATTGATAGAACAGAAAGCACAAAAAAAGCAAAGAAACCAAAACGATTCTCAAGAACATTCTCAGGTTTCACTGTACAGACTATACGGGGACAACTGTCTCTTCTGGCACTGTACACATTAAAGAGCACTTCAGCTCCTAGCTAACAGGACAACAACTTACTTATGGTTTTCTTCTTCTTCAGGATCTCAAAGACTATGGTCCGAAGTTCTTCAATGGGCTACAAAAAACAACAACAACAACAACAACACTTAACCACAAACCACTAGGCCATCAAAATACAAGCGATCAAAATCACAATGCCGAGAATCTACTGCACTGTGGAGTAGGGATGATTTTCAGTCTATTAGACATCTTAAGAAAGATGGAAAGAGTTAAACAGAATATTTCTGACAGTAGTAGTTCAGGTGGGTAGCTGCGTCAGCATGCGTAGGCTGCAAAGGAACAAGTAATAGGTTTATTCCACGCTGAAAAAAAAAGAGAGAAAAAAAACACAACGTTTCGGCCGTGGAGCCTTCTTCAGGTGTGTCTGACATTGCTGTGCGTTGTGATCTTGGAGGAACAATCATTTTCTTGTGTAAGCTACTCTGTTTACAAACCCTGAGGCATTTTATGTTTTCCGATAAAGTTGCTAAACATCAGGTTGTTTCCTCTGGTGCTGGAAGTTCAAAACTTCCAGCTGTTCGAAACTGCAGTGTTCTTCCCCCAGTAACAGCCTACAGAATGAATACATCAGCATGCAGAAAGAACACAGCTGGGCTGTGGTGGTGGTCATCTAAAATCTTTAACAGCATATCTAGCCACAGAGCAGCCAGAGCATTTCTTCAGCTGTTTAGACAGGACAGAAGTCAAGCTTTTAGTTGGGTTTGGTTTCATCTCCAGAGGCTCCCTAACTAAAAGTTATAGTTATTGCGAAATATCTTCACTGTCTGCTCTTTGGCACAAAACCGGACTGGGATAAATTACATGGATAAGAATATTCACAACCTCCTTTTATTAAACTAACTGGGTTTTTAAGACTCATGGCGCAGGGCTCGGAGTTGGAACATGAGGAAGCACAGGCTGTCATTATAGTTTGTACATTTTCCAAAATTATAAAGTATGATTTTGCCAAATGTATTGAACTGTGTTCCAATTTGTAGCAAAACCCATTTCATGAACAGGTGAATAAAGACAATGACCCTAATGGGAAACCCATGTCCGTTTAGCAATGACAGGACACTTGAGCTAATGTTTCTTAAAGAAGGGAACTTCAGGTCTCTGCTCTCAGTGCCGAGCACTAGGACAGGAAGGACAGCATGTGCTCGCACTGTTTTGATCTACATACAGGACCCATGCGCAGCAACTTGTGTCATTTCCACGTTTCCTAGAAGCCAAGGCCATTGATGCTCTCACGGGCCATGTGTTGCATTATACATCCTGTCTCAAGCAAGTCTTAGTGACTGCATCAGGAAGGCATGGCTTGTTCCAGACTCTCACAGCCCAAGGGGTTCCGTTTGACCTCGATCCTGGTTCCCCTCAAGAAACAGCTGGATTTTATCCTGGGATCTATTAGATACGAACTCTCTAATGGGATAACGGGGCCGAAGGACCTCTTTTTTTTTTTGTCACCAGTGTTATCAAACACAGCCTACTAAAGGCCAACAGATGCTAGAAATGCTCTGTTAGCCGTTCACCACAATGCCAGGAGCCCCAGTTCCAGTAGACTAGCGGCACAGACCAGACTCAATCCTGCCACACCACGGCCAATTGTCTCAGCTTGTACCCGAGCAAGCAACATCACTGGTTCAGGTCATCAGCAATTAATTAAAAAACGAAATCTGATTGGGTCATATGCACTTGGGGAACATGCTTCAATCAACTGGGAATTAATACATTAAAACGCAGGATTGTTGTAGGCATCATAGTCTGCATCCCCCCCCCCCTACAATATTTAATTGCAAGTTCAATTTAGTGATTCAGCAATTTCAGCTCTTCCCCCTTTTTGAAATGAATAAAAAAAAACATAACCATCAATTAACCAACAGTTAACTATAACATAACCAACAGTATGCTGTACATGTACCCACATGTACAGCATACTGTCAAAACATATTTTTTTCACCTTAGAAATATCGCAAGACTAAGCCCTATGCTATCATAAACTGTGGTTGAAAAGCTGATCAACATATTTGTATTCTCTCAAATTGACTACTGCAATGCTCTACTCGCTGGGGTATCTAAATCTTCTCTGAACAAACTGCAGTATGTCCAAAATTCAGCAGCCAGAATCCTGACCAGGTCTAGTGCAAGTGTTCACATTACTCCTATCCTGGAGTCCTTGCACTGGCTTCCGGTCAAATTCCGCGTAGACTTTAAAATCCTCATGCTCACCTTTAAGGCTCTACATGGCTTGGCACCTCAATACCTGTCTGAACTATTATCGCCCTACTCCCCACCTCGCAACCTCCGCTCTTCAAATTCTGCTCTCCTTACTGTGCCCCAAGCCCGTCTACATTGTATGGGCGACAGGGCCTTCTCCTGCTATGCCCCCAAACTCTGGAACTCCTTGCCCAAGGATATCCGAGAGTCAACTTCTCTAAACTCCTTCAAATCCAGACTCAAAACCTTCTTCTTCAGAAAAGCCTTTACTTAACTGGTTCCATTCTTCACCCCTCTGCTCTTCTTAGTACCACCTTCCACGGTCTCCTCTATTATTATTGTTGTATTGCTGTAATTGTAATTGTGTCTTATCTTGTGTATTCTTCTTATTTATTGTTGTAGTCTTCTTATTTATTGTTATTGTCATCCTGTAAAGCGCTTTGAGAAGCCACCTTTAAAAGGTGCTATATAAAATAAAGTTTATTATTATTATTATGATTCAGGTGGGTAGCTGCGTCAGCATGCGTAGGCTGCAAAGGAACAAGTAATAGGTTTTATTCCATGCTGAAAAGAGAAGAAAGAAAACACAATGTTTCGGCCGTAGAGCCTCCATCAATGACCTATTGCACTGCAGAAATCACACATGCCCTCTCTAGGGAGAGGGAGAGGACATAAGTAAGAAAGCAATTACCGCTGTTGGAAACAATTCAATGAGAATATGTCTTCAGGGTCCTTCTATGAGAAGTTACGAGTTTTTTTAGCTTGTGCACACATATCTACTATGTGATCAGAACATTTTGCAACTACTTTAGTTCCAAGAAAAATATCTACATAAGAGCTAATCTTACTTACTTGAAATTCCCACAACACACACGTTGTACGTGCCACTGCTTATGCAGTGGCACGTAAGAAAGATTCTTCCAGGAAGTGACTGAATGGCTACATGTTTAAAACACTAATGCTATCACAATTTCAGCTTTGTGGTTCGGTTCTAATTATGAGCAGTTTATTCATTCAAGATGTGAACGCATTGCTGAATGGAGAAGTTCAGCATCTCTTTTTAGCCTCCTGTCTAACTGTTATTTTCTACACTCCTAGAAACACTGGCGCTTGCCCACTGTGTCGTTATGGGAGAAGACAGTACACGGGGAAGAATATTCCAGCGGTCTTTCTTATAAAGTGGATCTCTGCACAGCTGCACAAACACTACTACTAATAATAATGTTATTATTGCTCTGGACACTCCACTCAAAGCGCTTCACAGGTAAAGGGGACTCCCCTCCACCACCACCAATGTGCAGCATCCACCTGGATGATGCGACGGCAGCCAAAATGTACCACACCTGGTATCGGTGGGGAGGAGAGCAGAGTGATGAGGCCAGCTCAGAGATGGGATTAGGAGGCCATGATTGGTAAAGTCAGGGGGGAAATTTGGCCAGGACGCCAGGGTAACACCCCTACTCTTTTCGAGAAACGCCCTGGGATTTTAAAATGACCACAGAGAGTCAGGACCTCTGTTTTACACCTCATCCGAAGGACACCGCCTTTTTTACAGTATAGTGTCCCCCACTATACTGGGGCATTAGAACCAACACAGATGACAGGGTGAGCGCCCCCTACTGGCCCCTCTTCCAGCAGCAGTCTTAGTTTTCCCAGGAGGTCTCCCATCCAGGTACGGACCAGGATCACTCCTGCTGAGCTTCAGTGGGCTGCCAGCCGTGAGCTGCCGGGTGATACAGCCGCTGGCAAACAGGACTGCTGGGAAGTTTGTTTGAATCGGAGCTCAAGTCCTCCGTCTTACAGCCCCTCTTCGCTACAGAGGAGAGGTGCCGGAGTCTCTCCCCCCCCGCCTCACCTCCTGCACCACCCGCACCGCCTCCTCGAAGAGCGCCAGCACCTCACAGTCGCCGTCGCGCTCCATGAGCCGGGCCCGGCAGACCCAGTACATGGCGAACTTCTCCACCGAGGGCACCTGGGACAGCACCGCCAGGACCTCCCGGGACTCACGGCCCTGAGAGAGACGGACACACAGACACAGCCTCTGGTTCAGCAGCGCACGGGAGAGGACGAGAGAGTGGCGGGATCGCAGCCTGGAGCCCCCCCAATCGGGGCGAGGTGCTACAGGAGCCAGGTTACCGCAGAACCCCGTTTTCACCCACAGACGCTTTCAGGCAGGACCGGGTTTTAAAACCACCCTTAAACTGAAACGGCAAAGGAAGAGTTCCATTTTTGCTATAGTGAAGACTGGGGCTTAATTATTCATTATTCTATGTTCTGAAGGGGAAAGAGCTCATGGCTGTTTTTACTGATTACAAATATGAACCAATGTAGATTCATGATGTTGTGCTGCTGGTTTTCTTGCAGTTAATAATAGGATAACGTGACTTTTTATGTTATTAGGAGATTATAAAACCTGTAGAAATGTCTGAAACTAGTTTTAGTGATCAGTTATTCCACTGGTTTGATCAACACCCAGAAACGGCGAACAGCGGATCTGTAATCTCAGTTTACCACACGCTATGTTGGCAAAGTGTCACGATTCACGCATTAATTATTTTCAGTCCACGGGCAGTTTAAAATTTCCATCCTGTCTGATAGCGAACAGGGTTTTATGACAACCCTGTATTAACAGCAAAGGCCACATTGAGGACTGGTAAGGTCTGGAGCTGATAAACTGGTGTCAATGCAGCAATAAGCACAAAATTAGACATACAATGCCATGCAAGGAAACAAAATATATTAAACACCCTCAATGTTACCAACTACCAACGGAAAGAGACTATTAATGAAAGCAAGCAAATCTGGTCTAACAACTTAGTTTTCGTTTCAAATTAACAGTAAGAATTTTGTCTCTGAGTTTTTACAGACCTACTGAATCAATGCATATCTGCAATCTCTTACTGTTACCAGTATGTACACATTTATATGACGCCCTCCTCACATTTGTAGTTTACTTGATTGAGTCATTAACATTGTATGTTGGTATAATGTAACTAAAGTGACTGTAAATGTGCTACAAAGGTACTCAATGAAAAACGTGAGCAACACCTGAGGTTTCTACCATTTTCACTAAGCAGAAAAACATATCACTGGCTCCCTCTGGTGGCTGCAGCATGTACATTCTGCCTTTTCAGGGCCTACAAAACTCTTTAAGAGGCGTTACCTTACCTAGGCTTAAAACAGCCAACGAGAGCCTGAAAAAAATCTGGAAACCTACAGCTGAAAAAATGGAACTGTGTATTTAAATCCAAGTTTGTGGCTTCTATCAAATAACTTTTTCAAGCTAGAAATGTTGTTTACATTGTTCCGGGTGATGAATAATGGCAGTTATTTGCCGAGTTGCACTAGATATTGTGTTTCAGTCTCCATTGCTGTCCTTTGTCAGAGTGGTCCCTTAGCATAAATAAACTGAATTACTGGCCAATGCATGCGTGTTCACTGTGCTGGGTTAAAACCGTGACAAACTTTAAGGATTCAGTGCAGTTTTTGGGCTGCTGCGCCGTTCAATACTTGGCTCTTGCCAGACCTCAAAGGCCATTCTAACTTTCCCAGAACATAAAAGCAACAGAAGTGTAATTTTCAGTGTCCACTGAATAAATAATTTCCAGTGTTGCAACAGGGGAATGTTCAAATCATGACTACGCAGCTACGGGAAACCCTTTCCTTTTTAAAAGGGGGGATTAAAGTCACTTCCTTTTACGTCGCTTAAGGCTGCTGGGAACAGGCGTCCGCGGTGCCGGCCTCACCTCCCGGAGCAGCCTCAGGCAGTCGTCGATGCGCTCCGCGGCCAGCCTCCCCAGGCGGTCCTCCTCCTCCATGGCGCTCCAGAAGGACTGCCGGGAAGCAGCCGGCTTCTTCACCGACCTCCGCGGCGTCGGCATGGGCGGCCTCTTGTACGCGATGCCCTTGGCCTCGCGCCACTCCTGCAGCCTCCGCCTGGGAGGACGGGAGAGGAAACGCAAGCGGAGATGGAGGTGGACCCTGCCCGCTAGTGGTTTGGTAGCACCGAGTCACCGGACCCGAATGCATCCTGCCTGGCAGCATCCAATACTTCAGGCTTGTGAACTGTGCACATCAAATTTCTCATTTAGTGAGGTCACATGCAACTTAAACTGCACAATCAGCTGCTGGCTGGTCCTTGAGCATCGGTTTAAATGATTAGAGAACCAACCGGCTGTTAGCTGTGCCCCAGTTTGTGCATTAACACCACAAAGGAAATCAATGTTTGCCGTTCTCAGCACAGAATCCACAGGCCTGTCACCAAAGAGCTGTGCAAACCCAACAGCCTGTACTTTAGCAATTATTGATGGGAGGGGGGAGTGTTCAACCCTTTATGGCCTGATTTGTTTGCTTACAAAAGTAAAAAGAGCTTCTATTATAGGCCAGCATTCAGATCTGGGTCTTGGGGGGATGTGTTCTGTTCTGGCAGTGGCCATTTCATTCTGCAGACTACACACATTGCTCAATAAAAATCATCCCCTCCCGATCTCCGACTCCCTGTCTATATACATGAAGCTTACACACAGAGCCCTCCAGAATTTCTAAAAGCAAATGCAAAGTATAAAAGAAAAAGGTGCCAAGAAGCTGTGAAGCGACACTCACATCCTTTCCTCCTGCGCCTTGGTTAACTCCGTCGAGCCCTGTTCCGCAGCGGTTCGGCTGGTGCCAGCTCTGATGGTGGCGTTTCTTGCTGGCTCCTGTCTTTTGGGCCCTGGGTCCTGGCCCTGTTGGGCAGACTTGGTGGGCACCTGGGCGGGCGCAGTGTTCCTGCTCGAGAAGCTGCTAGCACAGCGGTGTGGGAGCTGCCCTCTGCCTACAGGCTCTCTTACCACGAACGTGTGGCGCCTCCCAGGAGCTGCTGCCCCACCCCTGATGCCCTGCTGCCCCACCCCTGCAGCCTTCGCCCCCGTCCGCCAGGAATTACCCACAGCTGCTCCACACACACCTGGCTGCTGTACCTCGGTGGCGCCACTGCTTTTCTGGCTCCTCCGGCTTTCTGCCGGCACAGCACGCGGCTTCTCCCGTCTCGCGGCAAGGGTTTTTAGGGGACTGCTGCCCTTAGCCTTGCTGTGGGCATCGCTGCTGCCCGCTCCAGAGAGCCCAGGCTCTCTGCCCCCTACAGACGCAGCCCGCCCCAGAGCTCTCTTCAATGCAGAGTGCCGGCGCTGCAGCTCCTCCAGCTGGGTCTCCCCCGTGCTGCCAGTCTGCACGCTAGCAGGCCCCTGAGAGGCCCCTGGAGCCGAGATCCTGATGCCCACCCGGGAGCTGTGGGCCCCTCTGGCACTAGGGACCTGGGGCTTCCTCTGGGCGAGTTCCCGACGAGCTGCCTTAGCAGGACCTGAATTGGTGGCAAGCTGAACTGGAGCTTGACTGGCACTCATTCTGGAAGATGCCTTAGCAGAAGCAGAGTGGAGCACAGTGCTCTTTGGAACAGTCGCAGGTTTTGCACTTTGAATGTTGGGTTTATTAAGAGCGGTCTTGGGTATAGGCGCCCGAGTCATAGATTTGCACTGGGAGGTCTTTGCTACAGCACTATCCAGGCCAGGCTTACTGCGAGTGGTGCTCTGTGTTGAATTGGTCTTGACAGGCCTGGCAGTCTTAGCAATGGTATTGTTGCAAGTGGATTTCTTCTGTGCTGTCTTGTCTGGGTAGGGGACGGGCTTAGTGGGGGCTCTGGTTCCTGCAGCTGTGGACGGCGGCTTATTCTCTGTGCCTTTGGGTCTAAATGGTGGAGGCTGGTTCTCTTTTTGCTTCCGGGCCTAAAACGTACATAAGAAAATAAAAGCAGGTTGCATGAGAAAATGAAACCCATGTGTCATTATATCTGTTATACCTCATCTGAAAAACATCACCATGACCACTATTAAACTTTCAAATATCCACAGAAGGAATTACCCATTACACCCTTTCTGCCATGCATTAAAGGAACTACGGTCCTTTTTATACAAGACCCAGATTCAATCATTACCCCTCTTGCTGGGATGTGGCTGTAGCCCGGGACTTTTAAAGAGTACTTGCTGCCACCACCAGCTGCCAATAACTTGCTTTTATAGCTAAGTCCCATGCGGGTAGGCTACAATATGGCAATCTTTATAAAGAACGTCTAGGCATATCCCATGTGCAGGACAAAATAAGAAGAATAAGTACAGAAGATGATGGAGAGCTCTTCCTCTATTGGCAGACAACTAATTTCAGCTAGAATCTAGAGGTGAACCGCAACCCTCACCAGGAAAAGCAGAGCGAAAAAGGATGGATGAAATTTACAGGTGATGGTGTTGATGGCCTAAGGCTGCTCATGTACTTACTGGAACTGTCCCTGCTTTGGGGTCAACGGGCTGCTTGGGTCTGACCATATTGTCCCTCAGGTAGGGTCTGGGCAAGGAGAAGAACCAAAGAAGTAAGTGCATCAGAGCTTCAATACAGCGAACACTAAGGAAAGAATGTGTGACATCAGTTGCCCTGGACACAACCCCGCCCCCACACCTCTAACCACACCAGGATGGACTGACAATAGATGCGACATGCACCCAAACAAATACAAACACCACAGTAAATCCTCAGGTCAGTGGCCAGTCAGAGAAGGAGCTCGGCTGTTAATTACAGTTATCTGTATTCAATCTTGTTTGCACCAGATATACACGTGTAAAAGCAGCTGATGTCAGGTTTGCGTTTCCAATATTGTAGCCATGACAGCCGTCTCTTTCTTACTTTACCTGGGTCTGCATGACTGCTGAGGAGTTTCATCTCAAACCAAGAACACACCACACTAAGTGAGCAACTCCGATCTCAAGAGCATCATCTTTAAACACTGATTAAAGCAGACCTGATTAGTCCTGCTTTAACTGAGCCAGTAACAGATGCGTTTACAGTGCTGGTGGACAGGACAGGGCTGGCGATGGCCTGGCAGGCACGCAGGGGTCAGACTGGAAGACACAAACCCAGCTGCACTGTCGAACGGGGCCCAGAGGGCAGACAAGAGCTTCTTACTTCGGGTTCGGAGGCTTCAGCTTCCCCTTTGCAGCCAAATACTCCTTCAGCTTCTGTTCCCGCGACTCTGAGGACCACAAGAAAAAAGCAGGTCACATACACAAACACACAAACGCATTTTCAGTGCACTACAAAGATATACTACACAAGTGCAGTGCCACTCACTTACTCAAGTATTGCACAAAATTACAACAGAAAAGCCTTCCCAGCTCCATCTGCTGGAAACTGGGTCAATTACCTAAAGGCAGCCAAACAAGAAAGTTAGGGCTAACGAGCTGCCCTCGTTACAGCCCTCCTCGTGTTCAACCTTCTTGACAAGAAGATCAGAACTCTTGCTCTGTACGAGCTGTTCTGCAGCATTTGTTAAGCAAGCATGTTGGAGATGCAGGAAAGTATTACCATATTATAATTACATTATAATATTATAATGTCCTGCTTTGTGACCGATGTCTAAAAAACATGAAGGGCACACAGCCCACCGAGACCACCGGGTACAGTGCAGCTTTGATAGACTATTTCATACAGAACTGCCTCTCCTCAGCATGTTGCCGATATTTTCATGATAATCTGGGTAAAATAGTTTATTATCACTTGTTCTCTTATTGTGGCCAACGTTTTACTGTATTATTTTCCATGAGGTGTGATGTTTTGTGGTCATAATACTACAAAAATATATTTTGTTTTCCAATGTCATATTCTTTTCTAGCTCTGGTGATTCTTCCTCTCCGAGCTGTAAGCGCTGTGCTAAAAAAAGGGTGAGAAATTGTGCTTTGGAGTGATTATACCCTTTGAATGCTTGCTTATGTCACCCCAAAACCAAACTTGAAGGAAGGAGCTTTTTGGGTGCAAAAACCTCCATAAAGGTATCGAAAGGCTGTCGGGGGAATTACGTCTTGTAATGGCAATGAATGTTTCCATTAGTGATTTTGTCATGTAAAATAAATATCGGCTGTTGATCCGTGTTCTTTACGACCCTTGGTTCCACACGACAACCTTAGGGGCTTCTCTCAAGACGATTTCATTGCGATTCACCTGTTATTTCACAACATCATAGCAATCCACAACCACATTCTGAACACGATACAAGATCACAAGTAGTATGAGTAATGAATATACCACAACCACGTTATAAATAATAATAAAGTAAGAAAATGTACGGATGTATAATAAAAAGAATACCTTGAGCTGATAGCACACGGACAGCTCCGTCGCCGTCTCCGTCCATTTCTGCACCTTATTTCGTTTTCAAAGTCAGTACCCTACGGTATACCTTTTTAGCATGAAAAAGAAAATTTTACAGATGAAATTTCTTCTTCTTGTACCAAGTCAGAAGCAAAATAATCCGTTTGTCTAACAATCAAATTTCCGGGTAAACACGCCCCCTTGTATTATTGGTGAATTTACCTTTGAACTGACCAATTAGCTGCACGAATGAAATGTATTTGGATTCTCGGATGGTGATTGGCTAATCTTATTACCGTAAAACTTCGAAACGTGGTAACATTGAAACAACATGTTTATTATACTGTTAACTCCTTCTGTATTAAACCAAACCCGGTTTTGACTTTGTTTTCAAATATAGTTGTATAGTAGTTGTGTGTTGTTGTAGGTTTGAGCTAAATGGGGAGAAGGACTATAACTCTGCTACACTCTGATATGCCAGCAGTCATATTACTCTGCAGCTCACAACTGACAACCCACTGAAGCTAAGCAGGTCTGAACCTGGTCAATACCTCGATAGGAGACCTCCTGGAAAAAACTAAGGTTGCTGCTGGAAGAGGTGTTAGTGGGGCCAGCAGGGGGTGCTCACCCTGCGGTCCATGTGGGTCCTAATGCCCCAGTATAG